AAGTGAAAATAAATTAAAGCACATTAAAAACAAATTATATTAATTTTACTTGTGTTGTAAATTAAAATTAATGATAATCAAAGAAGAAAGCGATGCTGGCTGCACCTAACAATAAAATCAGTTGCAAGTGAAGGAAGTATGCATGGGTGAGAAAATGTTTGATCACAAGCCATGCACAGGCGCAGGAGTGAAAGCTATTGCATCAATTTAAATTGATTCTACAATATTCTACATACCAGTTTTGAATATTTTCTTCGTAATAAAAAATTGTTGAAAAAATATTTCCATTTATTGTAACAATTTACATCTAATAACTTTATTAATGTTTTTAAAACAAATTAGTTCATATTTTATTGTATTAGTATGAGGCTCCAAAAAGGAATTATGGCAAATGTTAAAAAAAAATAATGTTAAAATAAATATCATTGTTATGTAACACTGAACTAATACCCTCCACCCCCCTTCCCCTATGAAACACAGCATAACCCTTACTCACTTCCTCCCCTCCTTTAGTGTAACATAACTTATGGAGGACCCCATAGGTGAAGATATTAACTGTATTAGCATTCCTCACTCATTTGAGTTGTTTATAAAAAAAAAAAAAAAAAACCCTGATCCCAATGTCTCTTACAACAAGTGTCTACTATGCTTTCTCTGGAGTTGTTTTTTACCTGTGTTATGTTTTTAGAACCCTTAATTAAAAATTGGTGCTGTAAATACACTGAAAATTATTACCAATTTAACGTATTTTTATGGAAATTATTTGTCTGTACTTCACACAATGTTTTATTGCACACTATAAAATAGATTGGAGTCAATCTGAAAATAAGGGAGTTTTTTTATTTGCTTTCCGCTACATACTGCAATAAGATATCGGAGACCAACATTATTGATGGTTTGGTGCTGGCAAATTTGGTACTGTTAGATACAATGTGGGTGTGACTTGCAAAAGATATTTACAAATGGCAAAATACAAAATCGATTTAAGATGTTGCTTGGAGTGCTCACTGAGATGGACTATAAACATATCTGCATATGATGGGTCTTGTACAAAACCCTTGGATTATTGAAATTGGTGGATTAAGGAAAAAATTTTGTAGTTATATATCACTCTTTGTAAGAAATGCTTTTACTTGTTATGTAGAATTCAAGAAAATTTCCGCTCTAATAAATTATCTAAAAAAAAATGATTATAGTAAAAACTCGACAATTTACATCACATTTTTGAGACTATTACTTTTGATATGGGAAACTTTTTCTAACTTTTTATTGATTAATCTCTTAATCATGACTAATTCTAATGTATCTCTGGAATATATTTCTATAAATTGTATTTTAAAATATAATGATACCTCATGCTTTGAATCACTTGTTCCATTTCAGTCATAATGATGTTTTTCATCTCTTCCAGCATCGGTGACCAGTTTCTGGGGGGGGAAATTGCAGGAAATATACAGAGAATATTATGTCACACAAAAAATATGCATTTGATGCGAGACATAACTGAGCAGTTTTAAAATATCATATGCTCCTTGCTGAATACTAATTATTAAGAGTAACCGTGACTATGCATCTTGGTTTTCTTCTAGAACCACAGACTGCTAAGTTTGTCTCTTGAGTAAACTGGAGAATACAGAGAAAACATTCAGTAGGCAGAGGGTGGGTACCCTAGCAAGAAATGATCTAATTACATATCTTGGATAGTACATGTCTGCTTCAACTTATATTAAAAATTACTTCTGCCAGAATAACTCCTTCAATTTCAGAATAGAAACTTGAAATTAAAGTTTACTATCTGCATCAAAGCATTTTTAATGATTTTTTTGTCATTATAATCTACCAGATTAATCCGTGAAGCCTTACATACCATATCTTGACATTCTTACATAATACAAATTTCTCAAAACAGACTAAATACACTGACCTTACTTATTGTGTTCTGTCCCTAGAATTGAGGCAAGAAAACTATTCCACAAAAGCAAATCCAGTTCAGAGGCTATGGGACTATACCTCTCTACATAATAACTTCTATCTTAGAATAAAACACAAATGCAAAGGAAGCATTCATATTTAAAGTAAACTGTAAAGTAACTCTTACAATAAGATATATAAAATCAACTACCGAAAATGTTCTTACATCCATTTGAATAGTATAATTGTTAAACATATGAATTATTAATTGTTTCACTTAAAAAAAAAAAGTCTCAAATTTTTAAGTGTAAAAGTAATGTTTCTCCTGCCACTGGTTGCAAAAGTGTAGTAGTTCCAGTTTCTATGCTTAGAGCAAAAATCTTGCTAGTTGGCTCTGACAACTTAATGAAATTTAAGCTAATTTTACTAATTAATTAAAAACTAATTAAAAACTTAAAAATAAATTTTAATTTTTGGGAACACTATTTTTTCTACAAGAGGATGGTGAACAATTTCAAAAGCAGAAATTCCTTGATTATCAGATATAAAAACAAACTTTTTAATATATTTCTACCAGTAGAATTTTGACATACAATAAAATATAACATTACAACAGTTATGACTAATTTTGATTAGTTTTTTTCTTCACACTGAGGAAAATTATCTCCATAATTTGAATTCCAAATTACATAATACAATTGTTGAGAAAAATTTCCTAAGACTTATTTTCTCGCTTACATTCACTCCTTTTATTTACCAAATAGACAATTTTGGATATTTTGTTCTGAACACAAATATCACTTTTGTTTTACACCAAATAAGCTTAATCACTGAATCTGTGATCTTAAATAACAAAGTTTTTAGACATAGATGAAATAAGTCTTCTGATGCACATTTGTTCGTAATTATTTTATGAATGCAACTGCAGCAATAAAAATAATTACCTACATTGTTAAATATCTTACTTTCTCACTTTGAAAGAGGAAAGCAGTGAATAAACAGCATACAAGCCAATAGAAGTGTATTAAAGGAAAACAATAATTACTATTTTAACAAAATAGTTTATAGGCCTACACAATTTTAGTCATAAAATATACAAGCTCTATTGTCTTAAAAATACAACACAAATTTCTTATATTTCCAGGACTATCCTAATCCTTTGAACACATGCACATAACCACTGCTATTGGCACCCGCAATAACTGGTCGACTTTTATGGAAATGACAATTAGATAGAACAGTGTTTAAATGGGGACTTTTAAGGGAATGGAGTGTTAGTCCATGGATGCCACAAATGTCAACCTGTCGAGGCCTGTTCAAGCTACCAATAATAAAAGCATCATCACGACTTGGATGCCACATAGCTTGAAAAGGCCTTAGCCATCGTCCTGTCTGCATATTATGACTTTTACACATCATCAAGTAATTCTTGTCTGCTGCGAATATTCGTATTTTGTCATCGTTGCAAGAAGTCAATAGCATTCCACCACCGGGAGAAAAGAATGCTGATTTAAGACCCTTTGGATGAGGTAATAACAGTAAAGGTTTCTGCTTCTTTCTGCCTCTGATATCCCATATGCCAACTTCACCCACACCAGATGATGTAACAAACTCATTCTCATTTAAAGGATGTGGTTGAATTGTACGAACAGACCTCGAATGACACTCAATCCAACTAGTGGGGTTCTTACTCTCCCTGGTATCAACTACACCAACATCACCACATCCATGAGCCACCAGTAAGGTATATGGTGACATTTGTGCATGATATGTTGTGTGGTCTTCGGTTACATAAATATCATTAAATTCCATCTTCTCCAGGTCACAACTCCTGACCACGCCATCAATTGCAGTAGCAAAGAGCTTTAAAGGATTAGAAATACATAAACTGACACAAAATACAGGATTCTTATGGGGACGATAAATCTCCACTTCTGCATTGTGATTTTCTACATCCCAGAAACTCAAGTACCCAGCTGCATCTCCTGTTATTATTAATAATTTACTTTCTGATGGATGAATGAGTAGGCTGTGAGTTTTTGTAGTTCCAACTTTTCTCACATATTCAGGTGAAATTGTGAATTTCTTTAAAGAATTCTTGAATTCATCCAATGATTTCTGAATACTTCTAGCAGTAACACCATCTGGTACCTCTTTAAAATAAGGAATTAAGTCTTGTAAGGATGGCTTCACATCTTCCATGTCATCACTGACTTTAACCATATGCTCTGGACCTTGAAAAAACGTTCTGCGCAATTGTGGCTCTTCTTTCAATTCTTGTACAGCTTCTTGAATGTTCTGAGAAGCATTTTCAATAAGTATTTTGGATAAACGAGGTGACTTGCGAACTGGCTCATTTGATTGAAGTGAATTAATTCTCTTATTTGTTTTTTTCACAGGCTGTGTCTTCGGTTTAATTACTTGTTCATTAACTTCAATTCCGTGCAGGGCACCCAGTTCCTTCAATAATTCTAATTTCGCTTCCTCATTTCTTTTCAGAAGTTTTTCATACTCGTTTTCTTCTTCTTCGTTTTCGAAAGTATCGTCCTCCAAAGTGTTGGAGTGATTTACATTCATTTCGCTTGTCCTTCACAAATGTTTTTCACATAAAAGGCCACTCCACTGTTCAGAATAATTTCTTAGTATTATTCGTACGTTCACAGCTTCAATATGTTTGACACTGACACTTAACGCAATATTTCCTTACGTGTTATAACTTCTAAAACTAAATTCAACACTACTTGTCCTATAGCGCTTGTGTTTTGGCGGCAAACATTCCATTTCATACAATATGCCGCCAAAACCAAGGTTGCCGATGCGCATCTCCCCCTCCAGTGGCTCACGTGGAGGAGCAAAGCAACGCAGCAAACCGAGCAAACCAGGGCCCGGCAACTCCCCCTCAAAATCGGGGACAAAGCTCGAGGTTGCTACTATAGGAAGCGCTAGTGTCGCCGGGTGCAGCTGCAGGTTAGGCTCGCCAACTTTCCCACTTACAAATTGGCTAATTTGTGACAAATACGAAAAGTGTCTTCTAAATGTACAATTATTCATAATCACTACTTGTAAGAAACCTCTGAAGAAAGCGCGAACGTGGGCGTTATCTTTTGTAACATTATGGTCCTGCTTGCGACCCGCGAACTCGCGCAGCAGTCACGCACGTTTAAAGAATCATTGGCAACAGTTCCTGTTTTAGTTCCTGTAAAGAAGGTGATGCAGCAGAGCGCGCCACTGTGATGGTCCCCACCACGTTATATGGCCCTCGAGCAAACCTACCAAAACCTGCAGCGAAGAAAATGGAGCGCAGCGTAAATATTCCAATTTTACCGACATTGCGATGTTATTGAGCATGTGTTATGTAGACTTATTTATTTAGCATTAAATATAGAATACCTACCTGTATGAGATTGCTTTCCATTTCAATGAGTAGCTGAAGATCTGCACATCCCAAGCCACTGAAGCCGTAAGAAAGGCGAAAGGTGCAATATATATCAAATTTGATTTTTACAGGAAAAATGCATGCTCTGAAATAAAGGAGTGAACAAATTGATCAGACACTTTACAATCTCTAAGCAATAAATGACTGCAAAAAATTTCCCCTACCTCAATTTTTACAGGCTTAAAATGCCCAATATTATATATTGTGCCTTATTAATGCTTGCTGTTGATAAATTTTGATATTTTGTTTCTTTCCCTGTGTCTTCTTACGTTGTCTTGATGACTTCTATTTCAATTTCACAATCTCTTAATGTTCTTGTACGCACCAGACAGAGAAGAACATCAAAATGTTAATTTGGGTATTGTTTTGCAACTCTTTGGGTGACCTTTTGAAATTTTTTTTTTCACTTGAAAGAAACTGCCCATGAAAATTTATTCTTCATGGCAATGGTTGCTTGAAATAATTCCTCTGAAGGATATTTTAATTTTCCTTTGGATAAGAACTCTATCCAGTCCTTCATTATCCTGCTGGATAATGAAATTTCTTAAGTTGCTAAAATGAGAAAATTTGTTTTCAAACCGAAATGCTACATAACCAGCCAAAAATGTTAATCCTTCAAATGTAATTGAATCTTCAACATCATTTCTTTCATATAATTCCATTATTTCAAAGTAATTCACATTATTATCATTGTCAGTCTCCACTTCCAAGAAACAACCTACTTCTCTGCCTTCTGAAATTTCTTCACTAAAATTTTATTGGTGATCAAGACGTTTTTTTTCACCGTAAACACCTTCCTAAGATTTTCTTTTCCACCTGAGCTTCAGCTTCTTCCTCTTCCAACAGCGAAATCAACGATGACTCATTAGCATCCTCTGTGTTCCGGTTTTCCATGAATACAGTCGATGAATGTTTCCCTATAACATACCATTTCAACCGATATTTAATATCAAGGGTAATAGCTTCATCATTTAAACCACACATGCCACAAGTATATGCCAAAAAAAATTCCAAAATGCCTTGATTTATTCTATATGATAAAACATGTTCCATTCCATATTTCATTTTCAGGAAAAAAACATATCAACCAAATGTGTATTACTCATCAAAATCCCCCTTTGAAAAGGTATTAATGATTGGGGATTTCAAACTTTCATTTTCAATCCTGTCTCACTGACTTCCTGTAGAGTGATTTGTTGATTTTCCAATTTACATCAAATGCATGGAGCCTGGATGAGTTCCAAATGTACTTTTGGCATTAAAAATATTAAAGCAATCATTCATAAGTTTCAGAAACCTTGATGTTTCTTCCCAATTACATTTTCTTAAGAATCTAATTAAGTTTGCTTGTACCGGTAGCAGAAATAAATACTCATATTTCAGGAATTCCACTATTGCACTCACATGAATTGTTAATAGTCATAATCTCATCTGAATTGTCTTCTATCATTTCTTTAGCAATTGCATCCACTCTTTTCTGCACCCTCTCATTTCTTTGCACAGATTAGACAGAATTCTTTATATCTCTTGGCAACTTTTCTGTGGTATTGCATCCACTTTAAGATTCTTAGATCTTTCAGGATTATAACCCAATAATTTTTGTTTCAGTGGGACCATGAAATCATCTTGTTTAAAATGAATTGAACAAATTCGCGCTAGATAATAAATTCAATAATATTAATTTGTGAAATGATAAATTGATTAATACATATAAATTGTGATTTTTACTGTTCGTTCATGTAACTGTTCTAATACTGTTATGCAATAGCATTTTTATGTCGGTGTTAAAAGGAAGACGTGCTCCAGAAATTACCGTTTTCAATATTAAACTTATCTTTGCATCTACAGGCAAGAATCCATCTCTCCCGAATGTCACCAGGTGGTGGAAAACTATTATATTTTCGGTTTTGATTGCTCTGGAGTAGTTATTATAACTAAAAATTGCACATCCAGGCATGATGTAATCAAACTAATGCATTTAGGCGCGCTACTCACTTTAGCACTACGCACTTTAGGCGCGCGTGGATACGACCATGCTAACCAGATGACGTCATGCGCAGACAGGACGAGTTTTCGACGTGAACTCGGCACACCATGTGCCTTGGCCAAAACAACTGCCACCCGATTGCCGTGTGGTTGTTAGACATCATAATGATCATAATTACCCAGGAAATCAAACAGAGAGTATTAATAATATTAACTAGCAAAATAAGCCGTCGCGGACGCTGTAGACTGTTTTAAAAATAGTTTCACGTGTTGAAAATTTCTTTCATGCCCAGCTTTGTCTGCCAGGTGATATTTTGTGAACTTTTGATTCTGGCCAATACCACTCTCATTTTTAATTTCACTTAAAATTAATCATAAATGATTAATAAAACTTAATTTAACGGTGTAAATTAATTTTAGCTACAACAATGCGTGTGATTGCTTATGTTGCACACGGCCAATTTAATGCGCAAAGAGAAATTAAGGTCTTGATGTGGCCATGTGCATCGATTTTGATGCACAGCTTTAATGCTAGTAGGAAGGGGGAATTATACTTGTAAAATAACATTTACATGAAAGTTATATTTATTTTTACAAAACAGAAATGAATTCTTTCGAGAAACAATTGGCATTGGCACTGATTTGTGACTTATAAAAAAGGAAGTCATGCACATGGAGTTGTATGGACATCCCTTGCATTTCAAAGACACCTGTTTACTGTTCTTCAAAGCGAATGCACGTCCCTTCATTTTGGAGAACTTCTGATAGCAACTGTTGCAACAACGCCTCACTTCAGTTTCCACCAGCAAATGGTTACATTTGTAGTATCAATCTGTGTAGCATTTCTGTTTACCTCCAACAATGGCATCACTATGACTCAAAAAGCAGTGATACTCTTTGTTAATTGTAATTTTTTCAAACAAACAATGAGAATTTGCAACTACATTATTATAAAATAACTCAAATGCAACTTTTCTGTGCCATTTCACTGATTTTCTTAGAGGGCTGCCATATGTTTTTGGCAGCTCCATTGAACGTCCAAGGTCATCTGATTGTGCGTCCAGACACTGGGCAATGACGCTCTAAGAAAAATAATATTTCCGGCGTTTCAAGGATGCCAACCCATAGCCAAAGACAAAAAACTTTTGCACTTTGCCAAGAGAATTATCCACCCACTGTGTTTCAATGGAGCTGTGATTGTATATGATTCACAAGCAAAAATCCACAGCTCTGGACGTGATCGTATATGATGCATGCGGCCAGGCACAAAAACACACATCATACATGATGCATATGGCAGCCAAAGTGTTAAATTTGTTCTTTCAGTCTCTGGCATTGGACTTACCAATGAATCGTAGAAGCTGATAGGGCCCGTTTTCACGATGGCGTAAGTCATGGAATATGCCACGGCACTTGAAAAGCACGACATTGGTAAAAAGTCGAGACTGCGCGTTTAATCGTTGACATCTAGTTTCACTTTTTCACGTGTCACCGAAGTAGGCGCGTTAGTTTCGGTTTGAATCGTAGCATCATGAAACTTGTATTAACAACTACAATAAAATTCTATTCAACTCAAAACAAAATAACAATAGTCCAAAGAATGCAAATTCGAGATATGTTATGAGAATTCTTCAGTAGATAAGCTTTCAAATAGGCTTTCTTGAAAGGAAAAAAATTATTTTTATCGTGGAACGCTTTCGTCGTAATGACCAGGACTATAGTGAACTTGACTGAAAATTAAAGCGAAAACCATATCTTCCACAAAATGAAGACCTTTCTTAGTCAGTTATTTTTGTAGTCCCAATGCGAATTTTGTGCTCTCCACTGGTTATGTATTAACGACCCGTGTTCCTTCATTTGTGGAAACTAGAAATGATTGTCCCCAAAGTTTAAAAGAGCTTTTATATTTTATCTTCAAAGGAATCCTTTATTCTATTTTACTCTATTACTTCTGACATATTTTACATGTGATAATACATCAATATTAATACATTTTGTAAACATTTTAATACATTAAAATATTTTACATCAAACGTGTTACGGTACTTAAGAATGATATATTTAGGTAGCCTTCCACATTTTTAGGATATTTGAATAAATAGAAGTGGAAGCATACAATATAGAATAGAAGGATAGGAAAAGAAGTGACCCTAGATTCTTTTACGCATAAAATAAGAGCATAAAATATTCATTTTATTATCATGACAATTACATTTATATATATAAATATGATTAATTTTTTGATTTTGGATGTGATAATATAAATATTTTTTTAAAAATTCGGGTAGAAATGCCTATTGTTGCTTGATAAACAAGAATTGTTAACATTCATTTTCAATTAATCATTCAGTTCCCTGCCTGTCTTGTAATCATGTCATTGACACAAATTCAATACATTAATGTCGAAATGCCCTGAAGTTCTCAGCCTCCTTATTTCTATGAAATGCAAGAATCTTATATAAAATAATGACATTTCCAAATATTCCCTTTACAGTCAACACACAAGAGACATATTTTAACACAGCTGCACTCTGCTGTATATTACCAAACTCCAGATAAATTCGGTTATTTGAATGTTGTGAAAGTGTCAAATGTATAATGAAATTTAGATCAGATGAATTCTGTCAATTTTTGACAGTGAATCATAAATTAGTTGGAGGTATGAAGCAGCAAATAAGCTTGAAGATGAAAATTTATAAAGATTTTCACACAATCGAAGACGCTAGATATAAGTCACTATTAAGAAACGCGCAACCAATATTTCACGACAACCTAACCTAGAAAAAAACTCTATTCACATACATGCATATTTATGAACTCTTCTCTTCACGCTTGTTATGATGAGCTAAAAATCAATAGGGTTCCATTTAAAAAATCGGAGTTGGGTCAATATCTCTGCAATAAAAAAATCAATAGAATAATATTATGCGTGACCATATGTGCCCCTTGCATATAGTAGTTTTAGTGAAAACTGCATCTCAGTATCTGCAACGGTTCAGGAGAAAATTGAAGGGAACATCTTAGGCCACACACACACACACACATATAGATTCATTTTTATGAATCAATGTTTTTTATTCAACATCACTGTTATCACCTTATGCCAGCGCTTCTTACATTCCCCGTAACACTTCTGGAACTTCATCTTTGGGATAGCATGTTGCTCTTTCAGCGAAGCGCTTTTAATCCCATCTGAGCTTGAAAACCATCGGCCCTTTAAGGTTCTTTTTAATTCGAGGAAAAGAAAAGAGTCGCAGGGGGCCATATCTGGCGAATATGGAGGCCGTGACATCATTACAGTGTTCTTTATCGCCAAAAATTCACGTACAAGCAATGACGTGCGAACATGTGCGTTATCGTGATGCAGAAGCCATGAATGGTTTTGCTATAAATCCCGCCGTTTTTTTCGGGTTGCTTCCCGCAAACGACGTTGAACTTATAGGTAGCACTCTTTATTAATCTTTTGACCTTTTTGGCAAGAACTCATAATGCACTATGCTGTTAAAATCGAAGAAAACTCTGAACATAACCTTCACATTCGACCGCACCTGTCTAGATTTTTCGGCCTTTGCGATTCAGGGTACCTCCACTGGGACTACTGAACCTTAGTTTCGACGTCGTACCCCTACACCCATGTTTCGTCAAATGTTATGACACGTTTTAGTAGTTCTGCATCGTTGTTGACTTCTTTTAGCGACACCTGAGCAACTTCCATTCGCCGCTCTTTTTGTTCGAAATTCAACACCT